GGTAATTGCTATGAAAGTTAAAGAATACCGAAAACAGTCCGCAGACAACCCCGGACAAAACCTGTTGAGACAAATCGCGAAAATGCCTATTTTTTCCTGTCATCCCGGCAAAAACTGAAACCGCCGCCAAATGAATGCCCGATTTCCCCCCCTCCCCTTATCCAAAGTTGTTTAGGATAGCATGGCAATTATACACGTTGGTTTTTAGACCAAGGCAACTTTAAATAGGGGGTGGGGAGGGGGTTTACTTTTTGTGTTTAGGGGAGACGGGAGTAGGGCGCAAAAGTTAGAAAATAGATGGAATTGTCTCAACAGTTTTGTCCGGGGTTGTAGCAAAAAAAGTGAAGAAGCGAAAATAAGGCTTCCCCGGTATCTCCAGTCCCCCCCTTCCACCTTATAATAACCTTATTCATTTACCCATATGCTCTTTGCTCTTGTGTATAGTAATTATTTATTGTATTCACTAAACAGTGCCACAGTATTGCTAATTTGATGATTTAACTCACCAATGTGGTTTTTACATTTTTAGATATTTGATTGGGTTCAGTATATGAGCCTTTCTGGGTGCCTTCCTTCTTTTGATGTAGATGTTGTGGCAGAGTGTGAGGCACCTACATGTAAAGTAACAAATTCATCCTCCTTCATGAACTACCAACTTACCACTCAAGAAATCAGAGACTTGAATGGTTACTATGGTGATGTCTTAACTTTGGATCATGCAAGCTGTCTTCAACTCTTCTCTGTTGAAAGGAAGGTGCATGGAAAATCTCATGTATGGAAGGCTCAAAAACTGGATTCCTCTGATAGCAAGCATATATCCTCTGTGGTGCAGGTTGATTTTGGAAATACTAAACATGTTGGAAGAGTGATTCATTTTTTAGCCCTTCCAGTTTCAGGAATCAACAAGGAATTTGCCACCATTGAGATTTTCACTGTTTTCGAACAAGATCCTGGCAGTTGTTTGTATTTTGTTAACACTTTGTCATTCAATGTAACAACGGTACCTTTTGAATTCATTTCAGTCCCTTTGGTAACAGCTATAGATGATGATAATGAATTCAATTTCTGGATACTGAACATTTAATGGAGAAATATCAATTGAAACATTTATTTCCCAGCCAGCCCAGCTTGCTAGCGAGGTTCTGGCATTAAAATTCTTAGCAGCAAATAAGCCTAAATTGATTAATTGATTATGTCTGTGAAACCTGACTGGTAAAGACATAAGGTGTACATGTGATTGAGCATTTTTACTCCTTGACTACTTACAGATAATCAAGTCATGCAAGTTGTAGTAGTTTTGATAAATAGTTTAAAGCAATGCAATTAGCAATTGTACAGTAGCACATGCATTATGTTCACTTAAATGGAACATGGCTGCATGATATACATGTAGGTAATTTCATAATTAATTAGTGTCAGTAAGTTGTTAATGCTTTCAAAAAGCAAACAGCCCTCAGACATATATCATTCAATTTGAAATGACACTATCTTGATCAGTTTGACATATATATGAAGGAATAATTTTCATTTCATCTTTCACATCATTGGTATTTCTCTTTATGCCAACTTTTATTCACATGTTTTTTTCACATGCTAATAAAATTTCACATGTATGTGAAACTCAAGTTAGTTTATGGAACCAGTTTCACATGTTTTTCACATAGTGTAACTTTTCACACATTTATTTCACAGCATTTTTCACAGCATAAAAAATTTCACATGCATTTCACATAAGTTTCACACAGTTTTCACATGATCTGCCACAGTAGTGAAAGTATGCACTACAGTGTTATAATTATACAGTCTTAACAAAATTGAAAACAATGGCCATGCAAAATTTTGGGGTAAACAATGTGAGAATAGGTCAATAAAATACACTCCTGTACATGGTAGCTATGAAGGTCCACCCCTGAAGAAAAGGGTAAATTCTTATAATTTATTGATAATTAGACCTTTGTAATTATATTAATCCACCCTCACACCATTTTTGAATGACCCCTTTTGTTTCCCACTTTTAATCTTCCAGTTTTAAAACATTAAAATAATCGGTTGACTTGCCCTGTTTTTGCAAACCATAGCCATGAGATCTTGGATTGATTTTGTCTTGATCCTGAGAAGTTTTCTTCCTTCTTGTAGGTAAATTGTATAACCCGGCCATTTAATCTGCAAAATTAAAATAAATCAAATTTTTGATGAGTAAAGCTTTGAAAAAAAAAATTGATTCTCCATAAGGAAGCGCCCATTATTAATAGCCCACATAACCTTTATTAGGCGGTTACTATCTTTTAAAACGGCATTAAAACCACCAACCTCTCACTTTCCTTGAAATTGGAAGTCAACAAAACACTTCCCTAGGGACAATCTATTGTGGACTGAGAAGAGCCTTGGAGAAGACCACCTTGCACGTGCAATATAAACTCGGTAAAACTTTCAGTCATTTTTACATCATCTACAACAACCACAAAGGTTGTTTTTGTCAATGTCTGTAACAGTTTTTTCCTGAAAAGAATAATTCAGTTATTAGGAAGGCATTCCTATATCAAAACAAATTTGTCATTAGTTGTTTATAAACAATTCCTTTAAAAGTAGTGGAGAGAATTGGTCACTAAATGTCAGGTAAATAAATCTCGTTTGATCATGTCTACAACTCTTTTGACCTCAAAGCTTTAATAATATCTAAGAAGAATTTGCTGTACACAGAGAAATTTGATTCTGGTCACTCTTAGGGCAGTTAAATAACATGCAATGAATACAAAATTCAGCTGCAATTGTTGGAATCCTTTTGGTGTAGACTGAGTAAATTAAGTTTAAAGTAGCTAAATCATTATTATTTGCTAACCGGTCACAATTCTAAGGGCTAGCTATTTTTTCACCCTCTTATACTCAATTATACTATCATTTTTCATTCAGATTGATGAGGGAAAAAAGTAATCATTCTTACAAGGAAACTCCTGACATAACTTGGTCTCCACCAGCAAAAAGCTGGTTGTGCTTATGCCCAGGAACACCCTGGGCATAAGCCAGCATTCTTGCTGTTACCGACTTTCCCACAGACTTTGCTGGGCTGTAAATCATTTATACATTTGCGTGTCCTATATTGGAGATAAGAAGGGGAACATAAACTAATGTCATAACATGGATATTAAATGACTGGTTAAGTAAATGGTAGTATGTCTGAAACCCCCATTTTCAAACCAGGCAATGGCTGTCCGCCAGTGATGACAAGCTGTCACACTTCAATGTGTATTTTTGAGTGCAATTTTTGAATGATTACAATGATGCCATGACTTAGAAAATAGTCCAGATATTACGCACACTATGATTGGCCAAGACGCATTGCATTACAGTGAGTATATAAACACACAAAGCTTAAGTTTGAAGAAAGGTTTGAGTTTCAAACTCCACATATCAATATTGTCTTATTTACTGCTAACCTCAGAAGCTGGAAAATGGAAAATCTTTACAGACATGCTGTCGAGAAAATTCTGTACTTGGAAAGCATTTTTTTGTTTGGCAAAACAAGAACTGATTATACATACAAAACTTTGTGCATAACATTTTGCAACCCAATTTCTCCTTAAATCAGTGTCATAAACAAGAGTTTTCTATGGTGGCCCATAAGGGACATCTCGATATTTTTCATTTCCACTTAATAATTTGCGACTTGACTTACTCTCGATCAAAGTTAATAAATAGCAATCCAAATTTATATCTCGATTTAGACTTAAAACTCGCGATGATAAGTTATAACTCTCAATCGCAACTTCTAACCCGCGATCGCCACGTATAACTCTCGATCGCAACTTATAACCCGCGATCGCTACTTATAACTTGTAATTGCGACTTACAACTCGTGATCGCCACTTATAACTCCCTGTCACCACTTACGATTCACGATTGCTACTTATAACTCGCGTTCGCCACTTATAATTCGTGATCGCAACTTACAACTCTTGATCACCACTTACAAGTCGCGATAGCTACTTATAACTCACGATCGCCACTTGTAACTCACGATCGCCAGTTATAACTCGCAATCCCCAGTTATATCTCATGATCGCCACTTATAACTCACGATCCCCACTTATAACTCGCCATCGCTACTTATAACTTGCGATTGCCTCCGACAACTCGCGATCGCCACTTACAACTCGTGATCGTTTAATTATACCTCGTGATCGTGATTTATACCTCTCGATCACGTGTTGGAGGATGGCTATGTACTCCAGCAAGTGAGCGTGTGCATATTCAGTACCGCCATTGCGACAACGCGATATGGCGGTTGTTACCTGGAATTACTTTGTTGTGACTTTTCTAATCGCTCTTTTCACACTTAATGCCTGTGGAGCCCTTCCAAATTATATTCCTAATTTACGTAGAGGCAATGGAGATTGAGACGCTTTGATAGAGGACTACTTTAGTCTTGGTTTCAGCTACTCTGAAGTGCTTTCATTTCTTCAGGTATATCATGACATTAGGTTGAGTTTGAGGCATCTCAAAAGGATCCTAAAAAAGCGTGGACTGCGTAGGAGAAATATCCAGTCAAATGTAGAAACAGTCATCGATGCAGTAGAGCATGAATTACAGTGGAGTGTGAGTACTATTGGATATCGAGAAATACATCAACGAATGTTGAGTGATCATGGTGTTGTGATTGATCAAGAAACAGTTAGGCGTATCATTAAGGGTCTGGATCCAGAGGGTGTTGAAATGCGATCCAAGAGACGGTTTAGGAGAAGGAGGTATGTAGCTTCGGGTGCTAACTTTATATGGCATCTTGATGGGTACGCTAAATTAAAACCGCACGGGTTCTGCATTCACGGTGCCATAGACGGTTACAGTCGACGCATATTATGGCTTGAAGTGGGCCCTACAAATAATAACCTAATGATCACTGTTCAATTCTTCATTGATGTGTTCGGCAGTTAAGTGGGCTTCCACGAGTAGTCTGAGGGGATTGTGGAACTGAAAACATACATATTGCTGCAGTTCAGCGGTTCATGAGGAGAAATCATGGGGATAGCATGGCTGGGGAAAAAAGCTTTCTCTATGGAAAGTAGGATTGAAGCTTGGTGGGGATTTTTAAGGAAGAGTATCGCCGACTGGTGGATGCGATTTTTTAAAGATTTGACAGACTCAGGGTCACTTCGATAACAGCAGCGTTATCCATGTGCAATGCTTGAGGTTTTGCTTTATGGGCTTAATTCGAGAGGAACTGTATAAGGTTGCAAAGAACTGGAACTTACACAAGATACGGCCTTCTAATGCAGACACACCACATGGAAGGCCTGATACACTTTTTTTTCTCCCAGAGGAGGCGGGAGCTACGGATTTCCAAAAGGACGCTGACATGAATGATCTGGAGGTAGCAGAGAACTCAGTACGTGGCAAGCGATGTCATCCTCTTGGTTGTTCACTAGCATTCGTATCATTAGCAGAACTCATTATGGAGGATAACGACTTACATCTACCACAAGACCCAGACGAGGCAAAGTCTCTATACTTAGACCTACTTTATCATATCGACAACTTGTAAATCACCAATCTCTCTGAGGGAAAGATGCAACAAAATGACTGACAAGTGATGTGCATGACATTTCAAGTTTTTCCGCCGGTAATTTCGTTTTCGTTACCAAAAAATACCACGTCCAGATGTGAAACTCGCTGTAGAAGAACTAGACAAGATCAGCACTAAGAACACCATACAACTGGTAGATTCAGTAATTATTAAGTAGTTCCATCATTGTGTTACTTGAGTATTAAGAATCACGGTTGTTCGGTTGTGAAAGCACGATTGTATAAAAGTTTAATGTTTCAACACCAACTGGTCACTCCGTAGCTGCTATGATTATTCCCTGTCTGCTACAACACAAATGAAATTAATTGCCCGTGACAAATGAGAGAGAGCTTTATCCTCTCTTGCTCATCCTCAGTCTTCCCTTGTTGCACTGATTTTTCCCCGTTACGCGTTAACACTCCGGCGCTTAATTTTTGTACCGTTTTTGTTTTAGATAACTAGGAAAATGAGCACTTTATTCTGATAAGAGAAAGGCCTTGATGTAAGTAGAACATTTATTCAGAAATAATATTATATTAAGATTGTTGGTAAATAGGACCCGCTAGGGCATTAGAGCTGGAACAATGTCTTGCCCCTCTTTCGCTAAAAATTTGCGTTATCACTATGCCTGTACAGGTAGCCTCGTCCCCTGGCCAAAAAATCTCTGGGGACAAGGTTGCTGTCGAGCAAGGGGAAGGCATTAAGAATGAGAACTTTACCTTTCGAGCCATTCATGGAAAATATAAGCATTGCATGGGTTCATTTGAAATTTTTGTAGGGTCTTCTTCTTGAAAACGTTTTTATAAAAAAACTATTTAATAATCATTAAGAAGACATATCTCACAGTGTACTAAATAAACTTAACCGGCCACAAACAATGCTAAAAATTGATCAGCCAAAACAAGGGAGTCTGACTTTGGTAACTTCTAACGAGTCGGTTTCTTAGTTGACTGAGTCGATTTTGCTACACAAAAAGGAGTTGGGTAGTTTTAGGTTGTAGGCCCTTTAGAATAATGCATGACACCAGGACATGGGTTATGTTCGTAACCCTTTTTTTGGTAGCTACATTTTAGTTGACAAGTGCCGAGAGGGGAAACGCCAACTCGGAGCTCCGCTACATTTCAAAATATTCCGACCTAGGCTAGTGGACACTCAGTTTGTCTGCACAAAAATTGAAATGTTTAAAAAGAATACCGTAAAATCCCACGTTAAAGCCCTGGGCTTATACATACAAGGTCAAAAGGGGTTTTGGGTGGGCTTATATGTGGGGGGCATGAAAGCGAAAAAAAAAAGGTTCGAAGCGACATAAAACGTATCTGAGAAACTAATTAAAGCAAACATACCATTACAGTTAGAGTAACATTACTAAATTTATTGCGCGTCACAATAAACGGAGAATGTATTTTAGCCAGCTGTTTGCTCTCTTGCTCCAAAAGATTGGAAATGAACAGTAGAACAGAACTCCGTTATATATGCATGAACATTTGTTTCTTTCTTTGGTATCAATATGACTATTGTTCTAAACTCCACAGCCACTTGTTTATGCCGATAACTTTAGCTACTGAAAAATTTTGATGTTTGCAGAGAAACGCACCCACACATTAGATGGGCTTATAAACAGGGGGCTCATATCCGGAATAATATCTTCATTAGCAAATGGATGGGCTTATATCCAAGGGGCTTAAAACCGGGGGTGGGGCTTTAACGTGGGATTTTACGGTATCGTAACACGTGAAACCCCAAGTTAACCTCGTTCCCAGGGCCTCTAATTCCCGTCATTTCTCTCGCCCGAAAAAGAGAAAAAATGATCCTGGGAATAAGGTTACCCTCAACTGTCACCACAAAAAATATTTGAGACGAGTAATATCAACGTTTCTTTATTAACATGTCAATCTTGAGAGACAACTGCAAGAAATCACGAAAATGTGCCATCAACTCACCATACGGGGCTGTCATCAAGGGCCGGGGGCTGGGAATTTTCTTCGCCAATTATGAACGTGACCCCCGCCTTCCTCTGGTTCTATTATTTTTCTTACATTTTCCTACAAACAAAATCCCTAGTCCTTGGATTCCCCCGTCTACTTGTGTTATTAGCCCGGCCACTTGAAATTTTAATGACAGCCCTGATGTCTCATATTAACTGTGATCATCGGCTATCTAAAATGAAGCAATTGTTCAAGAGTAAAATAATAATAATAAGGCTGATGTGAAATTTAAACGAGCTTGTGATTTTATCATTAAGTAACAACTTACTATCTGTCACATGAACAGTAGTAAATGAAAGTGAATGTTTTGCCTGGAAGCAAAAATCTTAACACAAACATCTTAACCAGGAGATGGGCTCCTATCTTAACACATGAAGAAAACACAAAAATGTGCAATCAACTCACTTAACTGTGATCGGCTATCTAAAATGGAGCAATTGCTCAAAAGTTGAAAACAAATCAATAAGAGGCTGATGTGAAATGCTGCTTGAAAGCAGTTTCCTCAATTTAAGCCGTCTTTTACATCTGTCTCGTGAACAGTAACAAGGGAAATTGAATGTTCTGCCTGGAAGCAGAAATCTTAACACGAACATCTTAACGCAAACGTCTTCGCGTCTCACAATGTGAAAAAAGAAAAAGAAAAAACCGGAGACGATGCAAATGCTAGTCAATTAACTAAAAATAAAAAAACGGAATAATTGCATTTTTCATGAAAAAGTCTACTTTTACAGGACTGTGTCGTTGAAACTGGCTTTTACTTTCAAGAGAGTTTTGCAAGCACCATACTCTTGAAAAGTCCGTCCTTGGGAAGACCATCCCGGCTGCTAATCATTCAGGTCCCAGATGTTACAATCTCGAAGATAAAGGTCCAAGTTGTTTCGCATTTGTGAATATGATTGGAAGTTTCTGGGCAGAATTAATCTGCGGAAGCAGGTGTATGCTTTGGGGCAAATCGCCACGGGAGCCATGACTTCTGTATGCACTGCAATGCTGTGATCAGGAAGTAACACATCCGAAGCTGTAGAGAAGCGGAGAAGTTTGGCAAGCATTTGGTGGCTAGATCCTTTGAGATAGCGTTCCAGCCATCGAAAAATTTGTGCCTCTTTAGCGTTTTGTGGAGTTAATGCCAAATTAGCCATGATGCGGGCTGCTGTTGGTCTGGACATTTCGTACAGTTATGCAATTTCTTCTTCGCTCACGTTTGACCACAGATCACCCATTCCTTGGCGCAAGCTAGTCAAACACATGAAGGGCTTCGTCACAAACTGGGCAGTCCCCACGAAAATAAGGATGGATCTTATGTTGTCTGCAGTGGGTAACTGGCGCAAGTTGTAATCATCCAGCAAGTCAATAATTTCTTTTCTTGGAAACGGCCCTACACAATCGAGCGCTCTACTTAAACAGTCCTTCTTGTTAGGTGGTAGGAGTGCAAGAAATGACTCTACAATGCAGTGGTCCATGGCAGTCCCAAGAAGGGCATGTTGCATTGATGCTTGTGACAATTTGACTGGGAAGACACCGCATAGTATAAACTGGTGCGTCAAAATTCTCCCGATGCTTACGTAGTCTTCCTGGCTTAGATCTGGAAGAAGAGGAAGCGTGTGTTTGCTATCTCCGTCACTTTGGGACAAAAATGTGTCCCAGAATGACGAGTAAACTTCTCTCAAAACGCCATCTCCTGTTGCTTTGGATCCCTCGATGACTGCTGCAACTTTCCTCTGAAGGATGCTGGGGTCTTTGTACACAGAAATAAGATCCCTTACAATGTTTTCCCTGCTGGTGATAATGGAAACTGTCTCTTTCAGGGAATCCAGTGCCTCTTTTTGCTTCTTTTGTAGCTTGGTGTAGTTTTCCTTGACAATTTCCTCTTTACGTTCCGCATCTAAGACATAATAAGGAATTGGAAAATGCGAGGGCTGACTTGGGGAATATAAGCCAGAAACATCAAAGCCGGCAGTCCCAGGTTCGCTAGGAAAATAATAGGTGCAAAGTTTTAAAGAGTATCGACAAGCTATCATTATTTGTACACTAAATGAGTCCACTTGGATGCCTTTTATAATTCGCTATCTCTGTGTATTCGCTACTTATTCCAAATATTATCTCTCTTTGTTCTTTCGATGGCTGATTTACTCTTTTGGTCATGTAGCTGATTTAATCCATCATTTGCTTGCTTGCTTAAGCACTTACTATCTCACTCACTCCTGGAAACATGAAAATCAGATTAGCACGACATATTTTATAGAGAACGACAATTAGAGAATTCTGAAATACGACTTAACTAGGTATGGTAAAAAGTGTTACAAGTCTCAAAATCTTTCTTCCAATCGAAAAAACATCATAAGTCCAGAGTTCAAAGATCATTCTCGCTAAGACTCGTAGTAGATTGACGAAGGGTACCACGTTTTCCCGCCAAAATGACGCTGGTTCACGCGCGAGTATTACTTAGGATATACGTGAGAAATCAGTGAGGAATCGATAGCTTTTTAAACTGAATAGTCTTAACCGTATTTATGAAGAAAAAATTTACATGCTTGTTGGTGGACTACAAAGATTACCTTAGATCCTCGTCCTGTAGAAATTGGTGGGGTACCTCGTCTGTAACTGCTTCGATTGAGATGTCTCCCACGATTGAGATGTCTCCCACAGCCCCAAAACCTTTGAAGTTTACTTCTGGAGAAGTAAACTGGAGTTGATTTAATGCAGCACATGGATTTTCAGAACCTAGACATTTTCTAGGGTGCATAGGACCTTGTACTTTGGTTCAAGAGATTTTAGGGAAGCTAGCTAGCCTTGAGTTAAGCTTGTTTTAGGGACGGTTCATAATTTATGGGTTTGGGGGCTATGAGGATCTTATTTTTTTCTTAAATATTTATTCTAGCCCCCCTGGTGGTGTAAGATTCTTTTCTGCCCCCCTCCCACCCCCTCATGAGAGCTTGCAGACAAAGGTAAAATACCATGAACCCCTCCCCTACCATGTGTTCTTTAAATCACTTTGAATTGTGATACAAACAACATTTAGGCCTCAACAATGAAGTCTTTTTTAGAACTTTAACTCAATATTGCATAAAATAACTGCACAATAGATTATTTAAGTGACTTTATTAATTTTTATTTTTTATTAATGCTTTGTTACACAGAAAGTACAGAATATTGACATATTTAAATGAAAAAGAAAAAGATTACATGATGAAAACATTAAATATTCAAATATTATGACTTAATTATATAACATCTGAATGGAATAAAGACAGTGGACAGTTTAAGTTTTAAAGCTTTGCAAAAGAATTATAGTATATTATTTGGATGTTTCCTCTTGTTCTTCTAGTATTTTATAACCTGGGCCCTCCCCCCACCACTATAGTGGCACTTTTCGACTCTGAAATCATACCCTTCAACATTCACTTAACTTTTACTACAGAATCAAAACGAATTATAGCCCTTCTGCCTACCTAGATCTAACAAGAAAGAACCCTTCTAGGAAAACATTAGTGAAACTGAGAAGACACAGTCACAAACTTAGGATTGAGGGGGGTCATGGTAAGTTTTAAGTTGCCCGCCCCCTATACAGAGTACCAATTGACAACTCCAGAAAATACCCTAACATACCATAATGCTCTTTTTTTTGTCACTCCAAAATTTTGCATGAGAATTGTCTTTGGTTTCTCTTGGAAGTTAAAATGGCCTCTAGAGAAACTACGGAAAATTTTGGGGTGACAAACAAAGAGCATTATGGTATGTTATGCTTTTTTTCACTGGAGTGGTCAGTTGAATTTTGATGGCCCCTCCTAAATGTTTTGAATGAAAATTAATGCCCCGCAGAAAAAAATCCCCATTACCCCCCCAACCCATAAATTATGAACAGTCCCTGCTCCGTGGCGTAATAAATCGTAACCCGTGACTTTGTCTAATGTAAATAAAGAAAAAACAGAATGCATCTAGAGAAAGAAACCGCACAGAAGACAAGTATGTTTCGCTCTGTTTTGCTTTTTATTATTCAATGAATGCTTCATTAAGGGCTTTTTTACGTCTAAAACATTAGTTAGAGATATTACCACCCAGGCAAAGTTTCACGGCTGCCAATGAAGGCACCACACCGTTTCAAACGAAAAACGTCTAATCTTAATTGCCTGTTTAAATGTGAGCTTGGCTTTAAAAGTACAGCCTATACGGAAATTATTACTGTAATACTACTTGAACTTTACCTTGTCTTCCCTAAATCTGTCTATGACGTCTTCATTAACTCCTCTGCTTCGGAGGAATCTAACAACCTACAAACAGATAAAAAGATGTATATTCGTGTGTCAAAAGATGCTAAATTGCATCGCTAAAGTAAGCTTAGAATATGTTAGATAATGTAATCCAATATCTTTGGAATCATACAGGCACAGTTTACTCCTATGTAAAGCCACACTATGGAGACTAACTTTTAAAACACACAGCAAAATCACACATACCTCCTCGACTTCGTCCGCCATCTTCAGCTATCACATGCGATTGCCGGTACACCTCGTCCCAGGGTCCCTATGACGATGTGAGCCACAAATAGAAAGTACAGGCGATCGCGAGTTGTAAATGGCGATGGCGAGTTATAAGTGGTGATCGCGAGTTATAAGTGGCGAATCACCAGTTATAAGTGTCGATCGCAATTTAGAAGTGTCCATGGCGAGATATAACTGGCGATCGCGAGTTATAACTAGCGATGGCAAGTTATAATTGTGAATGCGAATTACAAGTGGCGATAGCGAGTTATAAGTCGCCATCGCAAGTTATAAGTGGCGATCACGAAATATAACTGGGGATCGTGAGTTAAAAGTGGCGATAGCGAGTTGTAAGTCGCGATCGCGAGTTATAAGTGGCGATCGCGAGTAATAAGTAGCTATCGCGACTCGTAAGTGGCGATCGCGAGTTGTAAGTTGCGATCACGAATTATAAGTGGCGATCACGAATTATAAGTGACGATCGCGAGTTATAAGTAGCGATCGCAAATTGTAAGAAGCAATCGGGAGTTATAAGAAGCGATCGCGAGTTGTAAGTCGGGATTATGAGTTATAAGTGGCGATCGCGAGTTAGAAGTTGCGATCGAGAGTTATAACTTATCATCGCGAGTTTTAAGTCTCAACCGAGAGATATAAATTTGTATTGCTATTTATTAACTTTGATCGAGAGTAAGTCAAATCGCAAATTATTAAGTGGGAATGAAAAATATCGAGATGTCCCTTATGGGCCACCGTAGTTTTCCCTTTTTCTCAGGAACGTTTTTAAAAAGCAAAAAAAACTGTTTTCCCGTGTTTGCATGTAGTCTTATAGAAAACATTTTCTACTGTGAAAATGGCATTAAAATCTAAAGAAAATTTTCAATAACTTCTGTTCAAGTGATAGTGCAGACACTTTTGGGGTGGAGTGTATTTTAAAGAAAAAGTAAGCTTACCTAGCTCGAGAAATGCATTTAACATAATTGTATTGTGTATTTTGTAATTTGTTTACCCACGGATCACCAAGGAGTTTATAAGAACTCGTTGAAATGTGTCCGTGCATTCCAGATCGAATTGGAATTTGAAAGTGCATGTTGGTTTTTAAGGAGAGGGGAAAACCCGAGTACCCGGAGAAAAACCTCTCGGAGCAAGGGAGAGAAGCAACAACAAACTCAACCCACATATGGCGTCGACACCAGGATTTGAACCCGGGCCACATTGGTGGGAGGCGAGTGCTCTCACCACTGCGCCACCCTTAATGTGGTCTTCACCTGCATTTTCATCTTCATTTCCATGTTGAATTAACTGCATACACACAAATGCGGCTGCAGCCAGAAATGCCTCTTGGTTTTGCCCCCAGCAGCTGGAACATGTGATGAAGCTGCCAATGAAGTAATTTGCATTAACACTGAAAAATTCACCGAGATGCCTGGAACATGAGCTGGACAAAATGAAAAACATGTCAAGAACTTATTATTGTACAAATTTGTTAGACAGTGGTGATGCCGTGCTATGTATAATAAAGGTAAAAAATATATTCAAGTTAAATTTTTTTAAACGAAGTTGACTCTCAATTTTTCTTTTGTCTCCTAGCCCTGAACAATCATTAAATTAGGGCCAGGAGTCAAAGGAAATTTATAATCAGCCTAGGTTAAAAAAATGTAACATGAATTTAATTTTTGACCTGTGACATC